TCTGGACACTGTCCTCTCCTTTAGAGTGTTTTTCCAACATTATCCAAGATTACATGGCTGTCAGTCTCAGGATTATTTTTTACTTCAGTCATAGGGTAGTTTTAATGTTTATGTTGATACACGGTAAGGAAAAAAATGGAACAATGAGAAAAACTCCTGTGTTTGGAATTTACCAACTCATGGGCAGTGGCCAACAGCCAGGCCACATGGTCAGGCAGCAGGACAACGGAAACAAGGTCTATTAAAGGGATAACCACATGGGGGCTGGACCCTCGATCACTACAGGCATTTGAGGGGTGCATTAAAGGAGGACATGTTGATGCTCATCACAAGAACCACCTTCTGAGTTTGGAAGTCGATTGAAATGGATGAGTGGGTATCCTGGTGTCGTCCTCTCTTGAGGTACCCACGTAGGTCAGTGAAATAAGGGGACAGTGGGGGCTGTGGCAATGCAGAGAAGGCCTGAAACTCTAGAGTCCACTTGCATCCTCTGTGGCCCAAAATACCAAAAAGAACTGTTCTGGCTGCCAACCAAACTCTACAGAGAGCTAGGAGGCCGGTCCCCTGTAGGAAAGCCTTGACCGTAGCTGGGAAGTCAGAGTGGAACCGGTAACCCCGAGGGGCTACAAATGGGCCTTGACAGGAACTCGTATTCTGGATTGGGTTTTGCTCACCCAGTGGTAGATGCAATTGGTCAGAGTGCTATTAAAAAAAAAGAAAGAAAGAAAGAAAAGAAAAAAACAAAAAGAAAACACAACACAGCTAGACTTCACTTAAAAATTTAAAAAAATAAAACGCGCAGAGAGGACTGTCCTGTGTGGACAGATCAGTGAAATTTTACATGTGCACACCTCCATGTACCACCCCCCAGAGCAAGATGCCGAGCACGCTGACCTTCGCAGAGATTCCCAGTCAATACGTCACCACAAAAGGTAACCACTCTCTGACTTCTGACATTATAAATTAATCCTGATCTTCAACTTCACATACAAAGAGTCATACTCTTGCGTGTGTGGCTTCTTTCACTCGATGCCCTGTCCGTGAGATTCACCCACGCTGTAGGGCGTAGCCACAGGCCAGCCTTTTTCGGGGCTGCATGGTATGCCGTTGTATGGACGTGCTACAATTTATGTATCTGTTTTCCTGTCATATGCATTTATGTCATTTCCCATTTGGGGCAATCATACATAGTGCTCCTGAGAACATTCTCATACATGCCTGTTGGTGCACATGTGAAAAAAAAAAAGATACTGCACGAGTTTGGAATGCTCGGTGACATTTCCTCACACCAAAAAAAAAGTGACAAACCATAATGTCCCACAAAGGGCATAGAGACAGGTTGACAGAGTAACAGCTTCATGGACAATGGGAACAGGCAACGGACACACTGTGAAAACAGGGTGTTGGTGCCATGCAGGCATGAAGTGCTGGTTTCCACACCTTCACAAGCGTGTGCTCCCACCCAGCGTGAGAGGGGCTACAGGACGGTCTCCACTACACACTTTTTCCTGGGGGATCTGAGAAGGAGGTGTAGGGGACGGGTGCCAGTGTAACTCTACAGTCCTTCCCAAGGGAGAGGACATCAATCTGTACGACCGTGCTTCACCTCCACACTCGCTCACCCTACCCGATGCTGAGTCTCAGGGCAGGGATGCAAGCGCGCGTGCCAGAAGCGGACGCGTTCCGAAGCAAGACACTGGAACTACTTCGTTAAACCCTGATGTGGAAATCCGAAGGGCCTGAGAGGGGAGGGCTGTGCCTTCACTCCATCCAGCAAAGTTGGGGCTGACGGTGAGCACTGCTACGCCACCTGGTGGCCCCTTACCCGCCAGTTCTGTCCCGGTGTGACCCTCCCCACTATGACCCAGAGTGGACTGGGCGGGGTGCTTCCCAGACTAGTGTTGCTGCCCGCAGTGTAGACCAGCACAGCAGCCACACATAATGTCTCTTCAAAGGCAGAGAGTTGGGCATAAATGCAGAGAACTAGAAATAGTAGCTGAGGGGAAAAGAATGGATAAATTCTCTATGTAATGAGGGAAATCCAGTATTACATTAACCCCTCCGAAGAAGTGTGAGCAGGAGATGACACTGTCTCTTAGCTCAATTCTCCCAGATGCCTGAGAGAGAAAGCCGTACGCTGTGAGAACATTCCTGCTTCTGGAACCTGGCAACACTGAATGGACCCAGCAGACCAGAGTGACCCTGGGAGACCCTGTCCTCCAGCAGGATGGTGCGTAAATTGTCAGTGGGACGCGGCTACCGTGGCAGCATCTCTGCAGTTCCGGTCCTATCGCTACAAGAGATCTGTGGTTAAAGACCACGGCGTGGCCTGTGGGATAATAAAAATATTTGGTCTTTGTTGTTGAATCAGAGAGCTGTACTTCTGAAACAAGTGATGCAACATATGTTAAGAAAAAAGAAAAAGAAGAAGATAGCAGGAGGGGAAGAATGAAGGGGAGTAAGTCGGAGGGGGAGACGAACCATGAGAGACGATGGACTCTGAAAAACAAACTGAGGGTTCTAGAGGGGAGGAGGGTGGGGGATGGGTTAGCCTGGTGATGGGTATTAAAGAGGGCACATTCTGCGTGGAGCACTGGGTGTTATGCACAAACAATGAATCATGGAACACTACATCAAGAACTAATGATGTAATGTATGGTGATTAACATAACAATAAAAATTTAAAAAATAAAAGTCAAAAAACAATATTTGGTCTTTGTGCCCGGTTCCTGGCACCGAGCTCCCCAAGCCCTTGGGATCTCCTGAGTGATAAGAGCCTCTCTAGTATGCTAATGAGATGACTTGGCTGAGGGTCCTAGATAGCTTCAGGTTGGGGACTGGTGACCAGGAGGACCAAACCATGTTAGAGAGCGAGAGCCATCAGCCTCGCTCCCCGACCTCCGGGGAGAGGTGCTGGTGGCTGACCTCCATCCCTGACAGCCAGTGACTGAAGCAAGCATGCCTATGTCATGAAGCTTCTATGACGTCTTCTCAACAATGGGGTTCACAGAGCTTCTGAAATGGCAAACACGTCCACGTGCTCTGAGCGTGGCACATTCCAAGTCCACAGTGACAGAGGCTCCTGCACAGGGACCTGCACGCTCCCACACTCCTGCGCCTCTTCATCCGGCTGCTCGTGTGGATCCTTATAATAAACCATCACGGTCAGCATGGAATTCTCCTGAGGTCTAGGAGTCGTGCTAGCAAATGACTGAATGTCCAGGGTACCCCCAACACTGTAGCCAACGTGAACAACAGTACAGGGGACATGGGAACCTGAGAGTGGAGACTTGCCCGGGAGCTGAGGGCAACCTTGCAGGATGAGTCCTTCCGCCTGTGCGTCACATGCTCACTCCAGGTGGACAGCGTCAGACGCGAAATGAATGAATTGGAGGACACCCAGGTGGTGACAGGGAATCAGACAGCTGGTCAGGTGGGGGAAGAAACCCTCCCCGCTCCACAAAGAGAAATTCAGAGTAAAAGCAAGCAAGTTAACCCTGTACCTCATCTCGTCCAGGAGCAAATGATAAGCAGAGCGGAAGCATGGCTATCACGTCTGTCTGTCTGCGACCAGCTGTTCACGGTCCTGTTACAAAAGGAGACAGCGGGCCCAGAATGGAGTCACTGACGCTACGCACCACGGAGAACGTCACACTTAACCTACTGCAGCTTCAGCTTCTCTCAGAAATGTGAGCTGCAATCGGCCACCGGCATGTCCTGCTCAGCGCTGAAGGGACACCCCCGGGAGACCGCCTCCCTTCCCCTTAAGCAGGGCCCCCTGGCTCACAACAAGGCCTGGTTTACTCATCGTCTCCTGTTTTCCCCTCCCCTCTGCCTTGACAATCCTTTCCTTTCTACTACTGGAAGAGGCTCCTTGCTATGTGCTAGCTGGGGGCTGCCCTAGCCAGGAACTGCTGAGGAAACCCACCTTCCATGTTCCCGGTTGGCCTGTTGTGCGTGAACAGTCCCGACTTTGTGGGACACTCCAGCTACTAGGCCGGTGCTCTGGGCTCCTTCACTGTTGGTTTTTCATGCGTGGCCACGGTCACGTAAAAGCTGACAGATGCTAGAGACTCTCTCCCCAGAGGAGCCCCTGCACAGCGAGACAGAAACATTCACCCACACGTGGGCGCGCACACAGACCCGCTCACGACTTACAGACCCGGGCGTTCTCGTCCTTGCCAGAGCGACTGCAGGGCACACACGCCCTGAGTCATCGGGCCACCAGCCCACCTGGCCAAACTGCAGTGGACAACAGCTGGGTCTCACCAGGTGGCATCCGGGGAACGAGAGGAGAATTGCCATTTATTAGCCCGGTGGTCCTTGGGCCGAGCCTGAGTGCCTACAAAGCGCCAGATCGAGCGGCAGCCTCACATCTGTGCTCCAGGACCGGCGATGAGTTGCTCTTTCTCCCTCCCCCGCCCCCAGCACCCGAGCGGTCTTCCCACAGAACTGCCGGGTCAGGGCCTTCGGAGGAGCCCGCCTCCCTCCTCCCTCCGCAGAAGAGGAGGACCTGTTTTCCCCACAGCCTGCCAGTGGGACCCGGCCCGAGGTTCCGCCAGACAGGGGGCCACACGCGGGACCGACTCACGACCCCCTGACAGAGGCTGCCACTGCACACGAGGCGTGTGACAGGTGACGTGAGTGGCAGTGCAACCCCAGGCCCACGGGCGGCTGCGGCGGCCAGTGTCCCGCCTCGGGGGACTGCCGCGCGCGCGGGGACATCTGTGCCCGCGGCAGGGCCGGGCTTGCGGTGGCAGACGCAGCCTGTCGCCCGACGGCGGCTCCGGCCCCGGACCGCGCGGCTAACCTGTTTCGTGCTGGTCCCCCAGCTACACGGCACCTACGCAGAAGATGCCCGCGCGGACGCGTGTGTGTGCGCGCTACCTGTCGTCTCAGGTCGAGCGGCGCGGGACCCCAGCGTCAGCTCAGAGGAAGGGCTGCAGGGAGCAAGCGTCCGGACTTGTGCGCCGTCCCAACTGCGCCCCGCTCCCTGACGCTCCCCCGACGACACCCGCGATGAAACAAGGACGTGTATCTCCCACATCACACCGCACAAGACAGCAAACGCCCTCCCTCCTCTTTACGGGGCGGGGAAGAGACGTAAATGCGGTTTAAATGCCCCTCCCGCCCTGGCCTGCTCTCCCCACGACCTCAGCCGCTCCCCATCCGACTGAGCACCAGGCCCACTCGGGGGGGCCTCTCCCCAGACCCACAGGCTCCGAGGATTAGGCACAAGGTCAAGGAATCCCCTATTTAACAAGCCCCACAAGCAAGGCTGAGGCACAGCCACGGGGGAACCCTAATCTTCGTTCCTGCTGCTCTAAGTGTGCTGGGAAGACCAGCAGAAACTTCAAGGTCTTCCCCAGACGCGAAGCGCACGTGTCCCCTCTGTGGCGCACGACCTGCGGGAGTGGCAGTCACGGAGCGACCAGTGTGGAGCACCTCCCCAGTCCAGAGGCACTACCTTTACTCTGCGGCTGCCCCTCCTCCCTCCGCAGCGCCCCGCCCTCCCTCCCTCCCTCCCTGCTCTCACAGCACCTCCCCTGCACACCAAGTGCATTCCCATTGTCAACAAACAGCCATCCTCCTCACAGGTGCTCTTTCCCAACCTAAGAGAAGAGAAATCGAAGGAGATTCTGCTGCGTCAGCGACTCCTTGACTTGGGGCTGGAGCCCGCACAGGGTCAGTAGGGCAGAGCCCGGGCTGGGACATAACAGCAACTAATTGAAAATGCGAGGTCCGGCATGCCCCCTGTCTGCTAATCCAGAATCTGTTTGTCTGAGAAGACTGGGCAAAACATGGAAAGAACAGCCCAACCTCAGAAGGAAGGCAAGTCCTGAATGAGTGTGAAAATAACCTCTGGATGCTACAGATTCCCCGCACGGGGGCTGCACTTGGCCTTGGGGAGACAGCGCTGGGCCAACCACCTCCTGCCGCTGTCAGACAGGAGACACCCGAAGCTCAATGAGACCAGACTCCCACACGAACAAGAAAATAGGCCTAATCCTCTACAGAAACAAAGGAACAACAAAGAAACACCCAAAGATGGGCCGAGGGCCCAACCCAGGCCTGAGCCGAGGCTGACCCGGCCACGCAACGTTGCTGCCCACGGTCAGTCCTGCAGGCAGGACAAGGTCTGGGCGATGTCCGAGTGTCTGTCATCCCAGGTCCCGGAAGGACAGGTCCTCCTGGAGGGACAAGGACAAAGGAGCAGAGAGACTCCGCACCCGAGCAGGGACCATGTCACACCCACGTTGAACTGAGCACCAACTGGGCACGAGGCTCCTCCACACGAGGCTCCTCGCAGCCTTTGCCTGTCCCCACCCAGAGCAGACCCAGCACCCCAAACGTGCAGATTCTGGAAGCTCTCAGTGCTTCCATTTATTTCTTCTCTCAAACGTTAGGAAGCCTCTCCTTTCACTAACTGATCCACTCCTCGTGACAAGAAATGGAAAAAACCCAATTCGCCTCCAGAGTCCTATCTTCAACAAGGAAGTAAGAAGCTGTGGCTCAGTGTAACAGGAAGTAAAGACAGGGAAGGAGATGGCCCACTCGCCCTCGGCTGGAACACGAAAGCGGATGAGGAAAGAGAACACAGGTCGGTCGTGGCGGGCAGAGGGGCGCAGTCGTGTGCGGAGGGGGGCAGTCTCCCCACCTCCTCACATTACGTTAACAGGAACACGGACACATTCAGACGCCCTCTGCAGAAAGAGAAATCGGGGGTGTTGATGTCACAAGGGGGGAAAGTGAACGCATCTTGCGTCGCTTGTCCCCCACAAGGCAGCTGGCTCACACGGTGAAAGAAAAGAACCGTGAACAGATTCAGGTCAGTCATATACAGGTGGACTTTCTCAACAGCCCACCACATGCTCAGAGCATCCTCCTCAAAGAAGCCCCGCTACCCAGCCATGGCCCCTTCCCCCCTCCCCTCCTCCCGTCACGCCCTCCAGGGTCTCACCTATAGGAGCAGAGAGAGCCCTGGGGACTGTCACTGCCTGGGGCAGGACAGACAGACTGTGGTCACACTCACAGGAGATGAAACCAAAGGAGGAGCTGTGGGGTGGGTGAGCTCCCGAGGGGTCCCGTCTACACCGTCTCAGGGTCTCAGGGATCACCCCCTCCATACTCACGTGCAGCCTCAGCTCAACTCCTTCCTCTTCCACCTGGGAAAGAAAACATCCCATGAGATGCCATGGAGGAGGCAGGGCCCGAGATCCTAGACGATACGGATAGCCTGGACCACAGGGAAGTTTCCTGAACTGTCACTGCAGGCCTAAGGCAGGATCAGGGACAGGAAGAGAAGAGATGGCAGGGCGAGACCAACCGTCCTGGTGGAGTCTGTCCTCAGCTAGGACCTCGCCCTCTGACCTGTGACTGCTGGGAATCGGGTCCATCACCACATTCACTGGGGTGATTAATCTGTCCTTCACTCTCACCTGTGCTTTACTACAGTGACTGTAGCCACGAGCCGCACGTGCGCGAGCACATGTGTGGGGACGGCTCTGCCCACAAACAAGCAGGACACACTTCCACCTGGGCTTGAAACACTGCAGAAGGACAAGAAAACGCGGAGCTCCCCCTTTCCCCACCTGAGCTCTCCTTCCTCCACGTGACAGCTCCAACCACCATAGCACCGGTGACCACAACGACAGCCAGACCAGCCACGATGCCCACGACAGGAATTGGGGGCCGAGGAGGGGACTCTGGGAAGAGAGGGTAAGGAGAGGGCCCTGTCCCCCGCTCTCAGCCCTGACCCTACTAACGTTCTCCACACTGGCTCCTCCAGGAGCCTCCGAGCTCAAGTTTCCCTCCTTACGCAGTCTCAAGGTGAGGGGCTCGGACAGCCCCTCCTGCTGCACATGGCACGTGTATCTCTGCTCCCGTCCAGGAGGCACCACCACGGCCGCCCACTTCTGGAAGGTCCCATCTCCTGCAGGCCGGGTCTCCACAAGCTCTGTGTCCTGGGTCAGGTCCTCCCCATCCCGCTGCCAGGTCAGGGTGATCTCCGCAGGGTAGAAGTCCAGGGCCCAGCACCTCAGGGTGACTTCAGGGTCAGTGATGGGATGGTGGGAGACATGTGTCTTCAGGGGATCTGAAGAGAAGGGTCAGGACATTCAGGAACTTAGGGAGGAGTTAAGATGGCGGAGGAATAGGAGACTCAGATCATCTGGTCCCTGGAATCAGCGAGATGGTTATCAAATAATTCTGACACCCAATAAATCAATGGGAGATCTGACACAAGAAAGCCTGCAAGTCTACAAGCAGAAAAGCGATCACAGTTTGGGCGGTAGGAGGTGCGGAGACGTGAATCCGGGGTGACTATCGGAGGCTATGGCAGAGCGGAGACAGCTTGCTTAAGGAGGCCACCGCACAGTGTTCTAAGCAGCAGAGCGCAAAATCAGAACTTCTAGAAGTCGGCTCCAGTGAGGGATGTCCTGGCTCAAAGGTGCTCAGGTGGCGGAGTGGGGGCGGCATCCAGGTGGGACATTGTGGTCTCCGAATCCTGGGCTCGCAGGAAGAACAGGGGTGCCTAGAGCGGCGGAGCTCCCAGGCGTCGGAGCGGGGAGCCGGCTGCAGTCAGTGGGTGTAGGCGCCGGCTTTCTGCTGGGTGTCGGTATTGCCGTAACCTGGGAACCGCTGCACAGTCGGCAAACCACTCTCCGAGCAGGGGCCCAGGAAGCGGGAGAAACACAGGAGACCCCCACCTCCCCAGGAGGAACCGCATGGGGTCACGCTGCGAGAGTCCGTCCAGTTTGGAGTTTTGAAACTCGGTCACATGCCTGACATAAAATCGCTTGGTCACAGGCTGGGTGAACAGAGTTCCGAGGGAAAGCAGGGAGACCACAGTGATTGACTGCTTCTCGGTGCGGGCTCACTGAAGGGGGGACGGGGGGTGAATTTTCAGCTCGGGTCTAGAGAGCAGGGCGCAGCCATATTGATCCTGGGCATCAGAGCTGGAAGCCTTCGGGGAGCAAAGCGGCGCCACCCGGTGGCGTCCAGAGCTGCTTACACTGCGCCCGGCCTCTGCCAGGGAGGAGCAATTCCACCAGGGCAAAGCCCCCTGACAATCCGCGCAACACGCCCCTCCCCCAGAAGACCGGCAGGGACAACTGATCATAGGGGCTGCAAAGCTTCAGCTCTCGGGGAAGCCAGTATATAGCATCATGGGTTTTTTTTTATTGTCTAGTCCTTCAGTATTATTTTTTGTTATTTTCTTATTTTTTAATTCTTTTTTAATTTTATGTATACATTATATATTTTTAAAATTTTTGTATCCTTCCATTGAATTTTATTTTATTTTCGTCTATATATGTTTGTCTTTCTTATTCTGGGATCTAGTTTCTTTTAATAAGCAGACCAAAACACACCAAAGTTCTAGTTTTTTGTTGTTTGTTTTGTTTCTGTTTTTTTTTTTTTTCTGTTGTCATTCATTGTTATTGTTGTTTTTTCTCTCATTCTTCTGTTCTTTTCTGGACAAAATGATGAGATGGATAAATTCACCCCAAAAGAAGGAACAGGAGGCAGTACTCACTGACAGGTATTTAATCAATATGGATATAAGTAAGATGTTTGAACTAGAATTTAAAACGATTATAAAGATACTAGCTGGGCTTGAAAAAGCATAGAAGACACTGAGAATCCCTTACTGTAGAAATAAAAGAACTAAAATCTAGTCAGGCATTAAAAATGCTATTACTGAGATGAAGTCCCAAATGGAAGCCCTAAAAATGAGAATGAACAAGACAGAAGAGTGAGTGAGTCATATAGAAGACAAAATGATAGAGAGTAAGGAAGCTGAAAATAAGAGAGAAAAGAAATAATTAGACCATGAAGGGAGACTTAGAGAACACAGCAATTCCATAAAGTGAAATAATATCCATATTATAAGAGTCCCAGAAGGTGAGGAGTGGAAGAAAGGAGCAGAAGGTTTATTTGAACAAATTATAGCTGAGAATTTCCCTAATCTGGGGAATTTCAAGTCCAGGAGGCACAGAGAACCCCCCTCAAAAACAATAAAAATAGGTCAACAACTTGACATATAATAGGGAAGCTTGCAAATTTCAAAGATAAAATCCTGAAAGCACCTCAGGACAAGAGGTCCTTAACCTACAAAGTTAAGACATATAAGGCTGGCAGCAGACCTGTACACAGAGACCTGGCAGGTCAGAAAGGACTTCATGATATATCCAAGGTGCTAAATGGAGAAAATATGCAGCCAAGAATACTTTCTCCAGCAAGGCTGTCACGCAGAACAGAAGGAGAGATAAAGAGTGTCCAGGAAAAACAAAAACTAGAGGAATTTGTGAACACTAAACCAACCCTGCCAGAAATATTAAAGGGGGTCCTTTGAGCAAAGAGAGAACCCAAAAGTAACAAAGACAATCTACAGGAACGGCGACTTTACAGGTAATACAATGGCACTTAATTCATTATCTTTCACTAATTACTCTGAATGTAAATGGACTAAATGCTCCAATCAAAAGACATAGGGTATCAGAATGGATAAAATAACAAGACCTATGGATATACTGCTTACAAGAGACTCATTTTAGACCCAAAAGACACCTCCAGATTGAAAGGGAGGGGCTGGAGAACCATTTATCATGCCAATAGACATCAAAAGAATGCTGGAGTAGCCATCCTTATATCAAACAAACCAGGTTTTAAGCCAAAAATTAATGGAGAGATGAAGAAGGACACTATATCATAATAAAAGTGTCTATCCAACAAGAAGATCTAACAATTGTAAATATTTATGCCCCTAACTTGGGAGCAGCCAAATGTATAAACCAATTAATAATAAAATTAAAGAAACTCATTGATAATAATACAATAATACTAGGGGACTTTAACACCCCACTCACAGCAATGGACAGCTCATCTAGACAGAAAATCAACAAGGAAACAAGGGCTTTGGATGACACATTGCACCAGCTGGACATCACAGATATATTCTATATATATCCTATATATATTCACAGATATATATAACCAGACAAAGACCCCATTTTAAAGGAGAATTATAGACCAATATCCCTGATGAACATGGATGCAAAAATTCTCACCAAGATACTAGCTAACAGGATCCAACTGTACATTAAAAGGATTTATTCCTGGACTGCAGGGGTGGCTCAACATCCGCAAATCAATCAGTGTGAGACACATTAATAAAGGACAAGAACCATACGATCCTCTCAATAGATGCAGAAAAAGCATTTGACAAAATACGGTGTTCTTTCTTGATAAAAACTCTCCGCCATGCAGGGATCGAGGGAACATACCTCAATATCATAAAAGTCATATATGAAAAACCCACAGTGAATATCATCCTCAACAGGGAAAAACCGAGAGGGTTTCCCCAAGGTCAGGAACACGGCAGGTATGTCCACTTTCACCACTGTTGTTCGACATAGTACTATAAGTCCTAGCCTCAGCAATCAGACAACAAAAAGAAATAAAAGGCATCCAAATCAGCAAAAAAGTCGAACTCTCACTCCTTGCAGATGACATGATACTCTATGTAGAAAACCCAAAAGACTCCACCAAAAAGTTGCTAGGTTATTTCGATACAGGAATTCAGAAAAGTGGCAGGATATAAAATCAATGCACAGAAGTCACTTACATTTCTTACACTAACAATGAGGCAGAAGAAAGAGAAATCAAGGAATTGATCCCATTTACAATTGCACCAAAACCCCTGCAATACCTAGGAATAAACCTAACCAAAGAGGTAAAGGATCTGTACTCTGAAAACTATAGAATGTTTATGAAAGAAATTGAGGAAGACAAAAAGAAATGGAAAAACGTTCCAGGGGCACCTGGGTGGCTCAGTCATTAAGCGTCTGCCTCAGGTCATGATCCCGGGGTCCTGGGATCGAGCCTCGCATCAGGCTCCCTGCTCAGCCGGAAGCCTGCTTCTCCCTCGCCCAATCCCCCTGCTTGTGTTCCCTCTTTCGCTGTCTCTCTCTCCATCAAATAAATAAAGAAATTAAAAAAAAAAAAGCTCCATGCTCATGAATTGGAAAAACAAATGTTAAAATGTCTATGCTACCTAGAGCAATCTACATATTCAAAGCAATCCCTATCAAAATACCATCCATTTTTCACAGAAATGGAACAAATACTCCTAAAATTTGTATGGAACCAGAAAAGACACCAAATAGCCAAAAGAATGTTGAAAAAGAAAACCAAAACTGGTGGCATCACAATTCCAGACTTCAAGCTCTATTACAAAGCTGTAATCATCGAGACAGTATGGTACTAGCATAAAAACAGACACATAGATCAATGGAACAGAATTGAGAACCCAGAAATGGACCCTCAACAATATATTCAACTAATATTCAACAAAGCAGTAAATAATATCCATCATGGAAAAAGGACAGTCTCTTCAACAAATGGTGTTGGGAAAACTGGACAGTCACATGCAGAAGAATGAAACTGAACTACTTTCTTATACCATACACAAAGATAAACTCAAAATGGGTGAAAGACCTAAATGTGAGACAGGAATCCATCAAAATCCTAGAGGAGAACACAGGCAGCAACCTCTTCGACCTTGGCCGCAACAACTTCTTATTAGACATGTCTCCAAAGGCAAGGGAAACAAAAGGAAAAATGAACTACTGGGACTTCAAGATAAAAAGCTTTTGCACAGCAAAGGAAACAACTGATAAATTAAAAGGCAACCTACAGAATGGGAGAAGATATTTGCAAAGGTCTTACCAGAAAAAGGGCTAGTATCGAAAATCTATAAAGAACTTATCAACCTCAACACCCAAAAAACAAAAACTCCAGTCAAGAAATGGGCAGAAGACGTGAATAGACATTTTTCCAAAGATATCCAGATGGCTAAAAGACACATGAAAAAATGCTCAACATCACTTGGCATCAAGGAAAAACAAATCAAAACCACAATGAGATACCACCTCACACCTGTCAGAATGGCCAAGATTAACTATTCAGGAAACAACAGATGTTGGCGAGGATGTGGAGAAAGGGGAACCCTCTTACACTGTTAGTGGGAATGCAAGCTGGTGCAGCCACTCTGGAAAACAGTACGGAGGTTCCTCAAAAAGGTAGAAATAGAGCTACCCTACAACCCAGCAATTGCACTATTAGGTATTTATCCAAAGGATACCAACGTAGTGATTTGAAGTGGCACACGCACCCCAATATTTATAGCAGCAATGTCCACAACAGCCAAACTATGGAAAGAGCCCAGATGTTCATCAACAGATGAATGGATAAAGAAGATGTGGTATATATATACAATGGAATATTACTCAGTCATCAAAAAGAATGAAATCTTGCCATTTGCAACAACATGGATAGAACTAGAGGGTATTATGCTAAGTGAAATCAGTCAGTCAGCGAAAGACAAATACCATATGATTTCACTCATATGTGGGATTTAAGAAACAAAACAGATAAACATAGGGGAAGGAAAGGAAAAATAAAATAAGATGAAATCAGAGAGGGAGGCAAACCATAAGAGACTCTTAAGTCTAGGAAACAAACAGCGTTGCTGGAGGGGAGGTAGGTGGAGGGAAGGGATAATTGGGTGATGGGCATTAAGGAGGGCAGGTGATGTAATGAGCACTGGGTGTTATATGCAATTGATGAACCACTAAATTTTATCTCTGAAACTAATAATACAAAATATGTTAAGTAAACTGAATTTAAATTAAAAAAATTTTTAAAAAGAAAGAAAATTCAGGAACTTAACATCTGTCTTGGTCCCCTGAAGCAGCTCTCATGTGGCCATCTTGGGAATGAACAGGACAACTGGGGTGGGGAAAGAGAGCAATAACCCAGACACCAGCCTGAACACATAATCTCTTCTTGTTTGGAAACTTCTAGAATTAGAGTGAGATGGCCCAGTGTAGAGGCACGTTTCTGTGAGGAAAAAAAGGAATTTCTGGTCCTAGCCTGGCTGGAGGCCAAGTGACTCAGAATAGGTAAAGTCAGACCCCAAGCACATGGGGTATGGGGCAGAGAACAAAGCCTAAGAAAATCCCCCAAGGTTCCCAAAGGCACTGTGAGTCAAAGGGAAACGCTCATCAGTTATTTCAGAAATGGTCTCCTCCTCCATCCCTGGAGAGACTGTAACCCTCAATCTCCCTAGGAGAGAAAGGCAGACTCTTAGGGCCACTCTGGTACCAGGTCTGAAAACCCAGGCGCAGTTAGTCTCCAGACCCGACCCACGGGAGGGCCATATACTGGTATGGATCCCATTTCTTCCTATCCTCTTAGGAGGCCTCAGCCTGAGGGGAAATCGTGGAAGCCTTGCGGCCCCTAGTACCTCCGCGCTGCAGCGTCTCCTTCCCGTTCTCCAGGTACCTGCCGAGCCACTCCACGCAGGTGCCCTCCAGGTAGTTTCTCCGCTGCTCCGCCTCATCGGCCACCTCCCGCTTGCGCCGGGTGATCTGCGCCGCCGTGTCCGCCGCGGTCCAGGAGC